TTGAAAGAAATAATGATTTGACATTTAGCGTGATAATTATCGATATCGACTGAGATGAAGAGTTTTATCGTGATAATGTTTTGTGCCATATCGTCCAGCCCTACCTACAACTCTTTCTGGAGGCTGCCTGTAGGCTTCCACAGGCAATCTTTGGTGGGACGAAAGGAAGTTAAGCAAGTTTTCACTTGCAGGGAACTCCCGGAAGACTTCCGAGCGTACTGCTCATATCATACGCACAACAGAAAAGAAAGTTATTGGGCCATCCGAACCTCATGCGACAGTAACAGTCCTGCTTTACATCACCTCAAGACTACTTTGGCAGAAATACGTAAATATTATAACTTCAGCCACTATAAAAATTAACAGGCTGGGCGTGTTAACACCAGTCTGGCTGAATCTGCCTCGGAACTGGAGTTTCGGGGTGATGGAGGGCGTTAATTACTCACACCTCAAGCCACACGCTCCCACCCACACACATGGCATCTGAAAACATCCGTGCCGTTTACCTCTGCTGCAGGCGCAGTTATAACATCTTTATACCCCAGATACCTTATATCTGTACGCCCGCCACACGTGAAACTCCAGAGCAGCCACGCCAAAGGTGACACTGAGAAACTTACGGGCTGGGTGCACCATCCACATTTCTCTCCAACTTGAATACATTCCCCACAGGATTTGGCGTTGGCCTTTATACATTCATTTCCCTCTAAAAAAAAAAAGGATAATAAGGACGTTAGTAAAGGAAGCTGTAATATTACATACCAAACACATTCAGCAAGGTAAGGCCTAATAGTCTGCAGAACTACTGAGTTGCTTAAAAGGATAAAGTACTAACAGACCCACCTGCTTGTAGAAAGTTGAATACATTAATTAGTAATTAGTAAGTGGGACATGAGAATTTGTCATTAACTTTCACCATTCTTTTTACTACACACTCAGGGAGTACTTAACATTCCCATGTTTAAAAAGAAATGCAAGTCCAGTTCTTGGCTCAGTTTTAGAGTTCACCCCTGAGGGATCCCAAAACAGCTCTCTGGCTCTAGAAACAGTGGTTGGGTCCTTCCGAATTTCAGTACATGGTCTCTCTCATGCAAATGATGGCAGCAATTTTCCTTAAGGAATTTTAACATGCACAGGGAAAACGGCTATTCATAAATCTGTTACCACTGTTCAGTGTTGCTCAGATAAAATAAAATCTTATACCACCTATAAAGTCAGATTTATTAGTAAGCTTATTTATATTCTAAAAAGACTAAAACACTGGTGGTCCAAATTACTCTAGTATGGAAACTTTACCTTGCTGGGCACTGCTGTAACACAGGCATCCTATTAGTGTTGATATAAAAAGTAGCTTTAGATCCATCTAAAACAAAGAAAAAACAATATTAGGGATGCAAACAAATCAATAATTTGACATTATGGTCATTAAAAAAAAGTAAGGAAGCCAGTCTCAGAAACTCTGGAAAAGTTTATCTCACACCCCCCTCAACTTCTCTTTCCCATTCATTCAGTTTATATAACCCAGTTTTAAAACTGATTCAGCAGACAGTGCAACAGCTCTAGATCACAACCCTGTACAATACAGTAAATAAGTTATAGAAACCTTAAGGCCTTGACAGACCGACATTCTCCAAACTCTGACTGCATTCATTCCAACACAACATTCCAGTAAGGCTTCAGAACAATTCTAAAACTGCAAGTTACGCTTCTGTCTTTGTGCTCATAGTGTGCGATTCTGTTGGTGCATTAAGACCAAACCACTGAAATAGCCCGGGTTTACTCTGCTGGCGTTACCTTGATCTTGGTAACAGACGTCAGAAGGACATTTAAACAGTTGTCCTGCACATGCATTCCAGAATAGACTTAGCAGGCAGCTATGCTTAAGGCCATAGCAGGCAGGGAGCATTAATGTGCTAAAAGTGGCCAAGGCAGCCAAAGGAAAACCATCACTCCTGACAGAGTCCATTACGCATACATGCCTGACCACTTAAGATGAAAATCTCATCACCTGACAGCTCCTGGAATCTTTGCATACGAAGTATTAATATTAGGATGCAGAATAACTTTACTTTGAGTACCCTCAGAGCACCACAAGACAGGAACAGAGGCGGTCATGTTGCATTCTTTATCCCAACGTGGTTTATTGGACTTATCCAACAGTGTGCTCTGAGCACAGTCCCTCTGGGACAGCTCTTAACCCAGAGTTGCGCCTGATAATCTGGCTCAGTGTTGCGAGAGAATACAGTACTTTGCTGACTGACAAGGCCGTTTATTGACCAGCTGCTTATCTAGGGGGGGAGGGAACAATTCCCTTCTCAGGAAGGCCTTTCACCCAACAGAAACACCACCTCCCACTTTGCTGTATTTATAGTAGGAGTGCACTATCACCCCACTGTGACCAGTCAAATGGGGTACTCGTGCCCTCCTGCAAAACTGCACACAAGGTCGGAGGACCTAACCTAAGGGGTGGTTTGGACAAGTTAAATACCCTCATCTGCAAGGACAAGAAACCAAACGTTTAAAAGATGGAGAAAACCTAGAACCTTTTGGCAAACACTCAAGACATACTAAGTGTTTAAAGTGACAGTGTTATTCTCAAAGAACAAAACCAGAAGGGGTCCATCCCTGTTACACATCTGGACTAGGTCTGATTAGTCTTACTGTTGTTACTATAAAAAAAAACATGGTGAAAAGAGTATTGGAAAAACGACTTGCTCAAATTGCTCAGCTCTACCACAAACTTAAATGTTTTCACATGCGCATTATCGCACCCATATTTCAAACAGCAAAATCAGATTTGCATTTCCGTGATAATTATCAGCTTATTCTAAACATTTTTAGAGTCTTAGAACTGTGCTTTTGAGGCCTATCTTGTTAACACTTGTCCTGGGTCCTACATAAATACGTCTACTGAAACTTGTTCAGACTAATACGCAATTATGTTGAGAAGTTGGAAATTTCAACCTACTGTAAAGGAATTTGGCCTTACTGTGTCAGGTCCCTTGGCCCGGATTCTTCCTGCTTTTAATGCTGACAATGCAGGATGCAAAAAGCTTACAGCAAAGTCTTACAGTCTCTGAGAAATGTATACGAACTTGTTGGTTTGATCAAAGGCTCGTAGTGTTCTTTTTTTTTAAAGACGCAGAGGTCACTGTGATGGGAAAAAAAACCCCACTTCACTACCACTCAATGAGTGTTAAAAAGCAGCACAAATTGTCTCCAGTTCTGATTTTGATCAAGTACAGTACTTCAATTTTAAATATCTCAAGTCAGAAGGGATGGCTCTTCCGTGAACACTGAAGCCCCATTATGCATCTTTGTTGAAGAACACTTTATAACGTATACAAAACCAGCAGAGCTGTTACAGATAGAGCTGTTATTTCCCATGACAACCCAAAAACAAAGGGGCACAAACAAAGGCTGTTGGCTGTCTATGAGATACAGAAGTGATGTTTCAAGTCCTAGAGCACCAGGAGACCAGTTTTCACACAGAGGGCTACAATGCAGAGGCAGAAAGGAAGTTGGTATTTTACCTGCTTCATCATGTTGGGCAAGAGCAGTTATCAGATCAAAATTGTGCAAACACGCCAGACCCCACCTCTGACCTACAAGCTCTTTTAGCGCTTGGCCGACGAGCTATTTAACATGCTGGATGATGCAAGCCCATTTGGAAGCTTGCAAAAAGTTTTAACTTAAAAGGCTGTGCAGACCCAGTTCAGTTTTTTCTGTTTTCTTTTTTACTTGTTCCTTTACCATATTGAGAAGTGCAATTTATCAATGAAGCAAGATCCATTGCAAAACCACTAGGAAGTGTTTTCAGGGACTTGCAGTCATTTTTTTAAAATTGCCATGGATAAATCAACTGTAGTTTTCAAACCAAGAAAAGTAGCGCTCTCCTAGAACATGATACAGCTATGGTATGTTAGCATGACTTAATAGAATACATCAACCTGAAGCCTTCCTAAAGGTACTGAACTGATCCTTATTGAACACATGTGCTGTAGACCACTTCAATCATTAAGCATGAGCTGGAGCAAAGACGTACGACCCAGGTGTCAAGAATGAGTTCCTCTGCTCGATATTGGGACAGCGGATGTAAGAAAACTACATCTGTTCTTGCAATAACTGGTTGACCAGTAAGTGGCCCTCTTACCTCTGGAATCTCTGGAAAACAAGTCCCATAAAAACAGGACAGGGAACACTGGCGTGCAGTAGCTGGCCTCCTTTGCCTGAGACTTTAAACTGAGGTGCCATTCTTTGTAAGAGCAGGGGTGTTAGCCCCAGCACCCTGGCTAAATTACACTTCACACTGCTCTAAGTCTAACCCTTCTTCAACCCACTGCTCGCTTCCTTTCCTGATCGGCTTTCCCTTTGGCTGCCTCTCATCGCCCCTTTCCTGTAGGGACGCAGCTCAGATCTGAACAGGCTTCTTGAATAACCATTGTTTATTCTTATCAGCTGAGTAATCGGGACGGCGATCCGTTTCCATTACTGGTTTATGCTGACGCACCACGGGAAATCCTATTTTGTTTTCTTGTTCCCCAGTCCAGGGAGCTGGGGCTGGAGTCATAATTTCCTCTGTACATTAACTAGTTTGTGACTAATGACAGACTGCCGAGCCTAGCAGTACGCAGAGAGAGAGAGAAATGATGCACGGTCTTGAGCGTGACTAAAAAGGGTCTGAGTGGCCCAGCATTCCTAAGAGACTGAATCTGTACGATCTGTATGCGGCCTCCCCTGCGTTACAGAAACCAGAACACAGAGCAGCATGTCTGTTGCCATATTTGGTGAGGCATACACCCGGCCTCCTCTAAGCCACATTCCCCAGCCCCCCCCTGCCACCCCACCTCCCTTCATTACCAGTTTCCTTTGGCTACACAGCACATCCTGAACTCAGTTTACTTCAGCTTTCAACCAGGGGAGAACACGCAACGAGCTCTTATCCATGGCTTGGACACACACACATCTTCCAGCTACAGAACACCTCAGCTGAGGGGGTGCTCGCTCCCCAGAGAGTGCCAGGCAACGCCTTAACGACGGTGCCAGCTCTCTTCAGGGGGTGGTTTACTGTTGGCAGAGAGGCCGAGTCGCTGGTCACCCACAGCTGGTCCGGGCACACGTTTTGGTTCTTGGCACCCTTTCTTTACATTTTAACCTTTAATGTTTTTCGGACTGCTGGATTCAATGGAATTCAAAATTGCAGACAGGTTTTTTCGGATGATTGCAGAGCTAATTATCCAAAAATAGTGGCTGTCAATCAGATTATGCAACGAAACCCCCACACTTGGAAAACCTAATTGTTCCATTTATGGGGGAAGGAGGAAGACAAAATTTTAATTTAAATTTAAAACTTGATGGCCTTGACACTACATTTTCAAACTTGGTAACGCGTCAGCAGCTGGGAGGGTATGCGTCAGTACAGCACAACCACATCGCTCAGTATTCACAGAACCACTTCTGGAGACCCGGCTACTTTTTCACGACCAATTTAAAAGCTCTTCCCCCGACGTTTAAGAGTGCAGCACAGCTGGCTGGAGTGACGTTCCACCCACTGCTTCTCATAACTGACTGCCCTCTGCTACCATCCCCCTCCTTGGCTGGGAACATCGCCCACATCACTGTTCAGTTCATTATCTGCCGTCGAGTACAAGGAACCACAGAGCCATGACATAATGGCCCTTTAACAAAAAAAAAAGCATGAAGCGTGGCTGCAGTGTGATGTGAACAAGCTGCTCGGAAACTGGAGAACATTAAGGTCTCTGTGAACGGTTAGAGCAAGCAAGATATCCTTACTGCTCAAGTGCCCTCCCTGCCTCTGTGATGTCCCTCACCATTAGCTGGCTCTCTCCGACTCAGGAGACACTGACGATTACCAGCAGTTCTCCTCGCCAAGATCCATATCCAACACAGAACCAAAATGTCAGTTATATCCCCTCCCCATATCTGGTCACACAGAATCATCCCCCCCCTCATTACTGTACTGTGTCTGTGTGTCTCATGGAGAGCAAGCTGGGGTATGCGCAAAGACAAATTCCTAATGCGAGAAACCGTATATTTACAATTAATAAATAAAGTGATGTTACAAGCTTTTTAACACACCATGTTTGTAACAACAACAACTAACATTCGTTTCCCCAATCACACAGAACATCAAAAGAGCAAAGTCTTGACTTAAGTGCAGGACTGCTGGTTATAAAGTTAATGGGGAAAAGCAATTATCTGGTAAGTTAAACACATTAAAATCAAACTGCTACCCATCTAACAAAGAAGGCTTGCACGGCTCTCAATGTAATTAATAATTGCTTACACTTATATAGCGCTTTTCTGGACACTCCACTCAAAGCGCTTTACAGGTAATGGGGA